CGTCTTCAAAAGCTTCGGAATTTCGGCTTCAGCGGGGGACGAAACCGGGACCCACTTTCCCGGGTCAATGCAACATTGTAGCAGACAAGCCACCACTCACAGCAAGTCGAACTACCAGCGGCCATGCTCTTGATGGTCCAGTCGCCACGGCCGTGCCACAGGCAAGAAGCAATCGCTTGCAGTTGCACCCGGTAGAGGGCAAAGGCTGCCGTCGGACAGACGTCTGGCGCTTCGGCAAACTCGGAAGAGCTACAGGAAGCTCTCCGATGGGCCCGGTGGCGGCTTGCTCAAGCTGCATCGGTGCATACCCCCACTCTGCATGGAAACAACTAAATGCTCCACCATCTTTATGTACTGTATGAGTTTATGCAATTTGCAAGTGAACCTGCCACAAAAGCCTGCAGCTGCTTGCTCTGTCGCCATGCCGCTTGAACCAGCTGCAACGTGAAGCCACATGTCTCAAGGTAAGGGCCGGTGCTCGCAGCGGTCCCCAGACTCCCCGGAGGGCTCCTCCCGAACCTCCTCGTCCTCTTTCGCTGGTCTCCTGGCAATGCGACCCTCTGTCTCCGCAGAGCTGCACAAAAGTGCCTGGCGCACCTCCTGGCATCTGGCTCCCGGCGAACTGCTTTAGCAGCTCTGCCACCTGCACTCACGATCGCTATCTCCGCTTCTGACCAAAACCCCTATTTTTCTTGACCACCCGTACCTGTTCTTCGGAAGATCGCCATGGAAACACCGGCCAAGCCGAGCGCGGGAAGGCTGAGGAAGCCAACGCCAGCACCTGTGCCGCTGGCACCACTTGCTGCTGTCCTCGCCAGGAAATCTAGCAATCTGTCTTAGCATCCAGGCACTCATTGCTCTGTTGGCCAATGCCATACTTGACTCAGCTGTGTCCTGGAGGCAAACGCGCCAGAAACCTCTGCAAATCAGTTCGTCTAGTGGGAATCTCACTTCGGAAAGGAGCGACGCACCACAGGTCGCGCTTTCTTTTGCCAATCCTCAGGCCTCGGCTTGTCCCTTCGACGCGACTGTTGGATGCGCAGGAAAAACGGCGAAGGTGGGTACGCTGCCCTGCCAAAGTCAACAGCAGACCTGAATCTAAGGATCAGAAGCGCTGCACGTATCAGTCAGAGCAAAGTGAGCCAAAAACATTCCTGAAGCTTCGTGCGTACGCTCTTTGGATCTTGAGGATGCTTTCGACGGCTGAGTTCGGCTGCTTCGCTTGGCTTTCCCCGGGCCTTGAGGCAGAGGAGCCCACCAGCTATCAGCGCCTTGCCTCCGAAACGGATCCACAGCACCCACAGAAGAGTGGCCCAAAGGCGACTGGCTTCAGAGTTCTCTTGGACTAATTCTGTCTTCTGTTGAACCAGCGCTGCCTGCTGTGCCGAGGCGGAAGCTGCGGTCGTTCATGGCCTGTCATGGTAAATTGCAAGGTGGCTCTGACCGGCTCAAATGTTCTGTTCAGTATTGAGGCCCTGGCCCCTTCCGAGCGTGCAGCGCAC